CGGCCGCTTTGAGGTTTATGGCCTTCATAAACATCAGGGCCCGCGCCACTGGGGAAGGGGTGGCTAGGTGGCCATGCCCCCCACTTTTTTGCGAAGCAAGGAGTCTTAAAACTGCAATAAAAGAGGTAAGAAGCCTTGGCCCCCTACATTCTTAGCCTTGGCCCCCCACTTAAAAATTTGTGGCGCGGACCCTGAACATTGATGTTAACCAGTCTCCTTGAGTACCAAAACACGTACAATCTTTTTTTATAAGAACATTTTTACAAAAACAAGAGCCTCGAAATTGGTCAGAAGTTATGAAAAAATCAAGAACAAGCTGAGGCTGAGAAAATGTAATTTCAAGCAACGTATCATATCAATAACGATGTTGTCAAGTAGAGTCACATGACAATCACACGAAACCAATGAGGTGAATAGAATACGTATTCTATTCACCTCATTGCACGACAAATATTAGCAAATGAGGCCTGGACACCTCCCTGGAGCAAAAAAATTTAAGAACAAATTAAGAACAATCCACGACCTGAACTTAAATTTAGAACGGCCTGAACTTAAATTTACTGGTTCTTATAAGAAAAGATTGTAACGTTATTGCAAGCAACTTTCGATAATAAGCAGCATCGTTGTACACTTTTTTAAGAACACACTTAATAAGAACACCGAAGCTCGATTTGCCAAATAAGGAACACGGTAGGAACATGCCTAGCCCCAGAGGAAGGGATATAAAAAATATAATTAGTTTCTGAAAGTTTACAAAACAGATCAGATTTTGTCAGCAAATCGTGCTACTGAATTTGCCGTGCTACTGAATTTCTTGCAAAACTGTTATTTAGTGGTCTTACAAATTATTAGTTGTAGTAAAATCAATGTTGAAATATAACCAATATTTAGAACATCATAGCCTGACATTATCCAAAAATGTAACAACATCGAGCCTTGGCAAAATTAGCTTGTTCAAAATTAGTTAGGTCTAGAAACACTGTTAAGACAAGTGATTCTGCCAGCGGTCAACATCTTTTAGACAACCCAGATTGTGCAAAACTCTATAATGACGACATGTTTTGGATAATTGGCAGAGCCCGGTCATCCTTCCATCTAGCAGTTTTGGAGTCGATCTACATACAAACGAAAAAGCCGCCGTTGTGTAGACAGAAGGGGTTCGTTTTCTCTCTTGGACTCCATTGGTAATTTTTCTTTAGGCTCGCGGCACTGATTGTTCAACTTGTGCTTGCGTTTTTCTGATTGGCCTATTTCGATCCACAGCTGGGTATATATTTTTCATCGTGTTCTTTCGGAACCTTATTCTGACGTTTTATGCCCTGAGGAGTGTCAGACGAAAAAGCTTTTAGTATGTCGTAAAATGTTAGCTTGTTCTCATAAAAAATGAATTGCTAAGAAGAGTATTAAACAGGTCATGCTTAGCGTTATTCGGTAAGGGTCAAAAGCAACAGATGTTGGAAGTTTGGGGTTTCGATGGCACCTGCTATTATTCAATTGCAACTTTGCTTCTTTTCTTAATTGATGGTTTTCGTTCATTTCAGCATTCCTCTCCAAATTCAAACAATCTGTCACCCTGTAGTATGAGTAATGTAGTGTCGTCTCAGTGGGTATCGTCACGTACTGTAAGTAGCCCCAGCTTTCCTCGTATGATCGGTAAAATCACTCACGGGCTGCAGCAATCTGCCCATTTCTTTCTTTACTTTCAAATCAATATAACATTGAAGTGGGCTTTAACATAATCCTTTGTTCGGCTCTACGCAGAGCTTGGCTAACGTGATAACCACTTAAAGTGATTATTGGTGTTATGATAATTAACATAATGATTATGATGATTGCACTTGGGTCACGTTATATTCACCACACCAAAGAAATCTTCCTTGATAGTAAACTGAACTGAAGGGCCTGAATTGGCTCAGAACAACAACAGCAACGGCTTGTGTCTCGTGCTTCAAAATGGAGTTATGGATCAAGACGCAAACAACTGGGCTTTCTAATTTTTCTAAATATGAAACATTAACCGAATGTGAGCAAATTTTGTGAAGGCGAGAGACATTCACAAAAAAGAAAGGAGGCAATGACCAACATAAGCTAACATTCACAAGCATGGTACCTTAGATATCTTACATAAAGCGTACAAAAATAGCTGAAAAGGTCGGAAGATAGCTACAATTAATTAAATACATTCCTATAACAAACAGCTTACTACTAATTGATGTTGTGAGAAGCTAGCAATCCTACGGCCAAAGTCTACAAGATAGATCGCTACAAATGGAAAAACCACATGAGTTTCAGAAGCAACTTTTATGTTGTATCCTTGACATTAGTTTCTGGTGGATGACCTTGGTAAGATTTTAGCATTGAGTTGTGGTTAGTCAGAAGCAATGAGGGTTGTTAGCGATTCAGTCTCAAAAGGCACTGTTCTTCATCAAAAGCATGGCAACCGTCCACCGTATCTTCAAATTAGATGCAGACAAACCTTCTACGAAGTCATCAACATACAAAATAGTGTTCCTCACAATTTAGGACCAGATATAACAAACGTGGTTTTCAAAAGAGCTTTATTAGCCAGACGTGCTTTAAATCTTAAGCGATCATCGGTTAAAAGACAAAAGTTTACCAAAAAACTATTAAGTTTGTATCGGCATTGGTAAATCTTAAAAGCAAATTCATTTTGTCTGTGACCCCCGTGGAGATGCACCTTCGTGTACGTATTGGTGCAGGTCAGAAAAGGAGTCATAAATGACCAGAAAATGTTGAGGTCTTGAATGTTGGCAATACTTTCTAGGCCACTTTTAAAAATAAATTCATTTGCAGTTGTCTCAATTTTCAATTAAATTACTGAGCTTAAAACCTTTGTAGTCCAGATACTGCCAAATTTATCTTCTCCTCAAATTTTAAGATTAAACTGCTGAAGGGTACATCCCTTTCTGAAACCAATTCTAACGATCGCAAATAATTGTTGGAATTCAACTTTCAGGCCCAAAGCTTTGAGGTGGACCGATGAAAGAGCGTTAAGCACCAGTGAGTATTAATAACAACCCATGATGTGTGTGATATATAAAAATTTTGGTGTGCAATTTGACCAAAATGTGCTTAGATGAAAAACGATATAGGCACCTTGAAACACCTAAATTGCGTAAAAATTCACATTAAAATTCGTCTAGAAATGTCGTACAAAAATTGTTTTCCGTTTTAAAAAAAACTCAACTGAAGATTAAACTACAGCTCCATAGGATCATGAACACTTAGCTTTTTTCTAAGTTCCCTTGCTTTTCTCTCTACATCAAATTGCTCATTAGATTTGCCTGAAATGGAACCAAAAGCGTCGTTACGACAAAAATTCGGCTTAGTGAAAAATTCATTGTCATCTAGAGGCTTTAAAGGATTCGTGAGAAATGACTGAGTCTGAATTTGGATCAGATATTTGGAAATCTGCTTTTAAAAGCAAAAAATAGTGTGAATATTGTAGTGACTCAAGACTTCAATTTATACAATTGTGCGAATACCACTCATGCTGTTCCTCATTAACAAAAACAATCACGCCTTACTGTGCTTCACTTTAAAATGGAAACATAAAGGTAAAGAAACAGGAACGACGAAAAGAGGGCGGCTTACCATGGTGATGTGATTCCAAATAATCGTCAAGATAGCCACTCCAATTGCGCACTTTCCAGTCTAAGTCACTAAGAATTTCCTGGAAATGAAGCCATAAGACAAATTATTCTTAGAAGAGGTATGAAACTGGCGAGTTTATGTCATTGCTATAGGAAAAAACAATATCTAAGTCATGACGAAAAACACCTGCAGATTAAATAAAAAGTTGATAGAAAACTTCAAGTTTAAATGCTGTGCTATAGACTATTTGAAGCAAATGGCAAGTCCCTGTTCTTAGAAACACAATAAAGGGCAGATTAACCAAAACACTGTCAGAAGCAACCTTTAAGCATGGATACAACCATGGTAGCATCTAAAGGAATGCTAGCATCAGGTAGACACTACCTTCTACATAGAAGCCGAAGAATATTATCAGAATGACAAACAGAAAAATGACTTTTCTCTTCAGGGAAACATTCTCCGCTAGCTCAACTGAAAACAAACTGATTATGTAGGCTAAAGTGATGTTACGGAGCATTGATGGTAAGGAGATTCCATATTTCTTACTATTACAATGTTTTTAAATTACAAGTTCTAAACAACAGGTACTATGTCAAAAGGCAACACTGACGCACTGACCTGAAACCTTTTGCTGTTCCTAATGGCCTTGAAATCGTTATAGGAAAGCAAGCTATCCTTATCAACGTCCACTATATCGAAAATCTGCGAAAAAATGATAAGTTTGAGTGGGTTGAAATGATGGATATCAGAATAAGACGAGAGGACGGGAACCGATGCCTTATCTTAAAAGGGCTACATTCATACCAGTGGCCTACATATAAACTATCCATCAACGTCATGTGGATAACACCAAAAGCGCTGTTCTCTCGCTGATAAATGTGACTTTGAATCTTTTTTTACAGCAATTCCCTTCAAGCAAATTTTCCGATTAAACCTGTATTTTTTTCAGTCCATTTTATAGCTGAAATATTATTTGTAAATATCACTGGTCTGAGCAGGATGCATTTTCTCACGGAATTGTATAAGTGAGTGTGTTTTATGAACATTATTTGTATGGAAATGTTACTATAAAAGAAATGACCCACCAGGAAAGCATCTTAGTCAATACATCCAGCCCGATTCTAAAGCCCTGGTCAAAAGATCCAACAATACACCCAACATTTCGCCTAACATCATGTTGGATATTGGATCGTTTGAGCACCATGTTAGTTCATCCAACATCGTCATTTCTTATGTTGGATGAAATTTGACGGAGTTCAAAAATGTTGGCTGCAAACATCCAACAACTGTAGTGTTTTGAAGTGTTGGGTGAAAAGTTGGATCGTTTGACCACCTCAGCTAACATTGTTAGCTCTGCGCAAGCGCAGTTGGTTAAAGAGCGCCAAAATTCAATCATTGTATAACTGTCGTTTTCTCGGGCTGGTTTTGTACAATCAAAAATACTTTAATTATGGACAAAATAACGTAATATGACGTATAACGTAATTTGGGGTAAAATAACTAACCCAAAAGTGAGCTAGCTAATTGATAAAAAATGTCACACATGCATGTTTTGTGATCTTTGTAATATTTCATTGAATTAAAATGACATTTTGTCGTTTTATGGTCTACTGACTTTGTTTAATAGTGACGCAGTTATTAAGAATGGATAATAGAAGAAAGTTTTTCTTACCTCACGTGTTATTTTTTCAAACGAGTTAGGCAAACTGAAAGGAGCTAAATCTTCATCAAAAATATCTGAAGCCTGTAAAAAAATAATTTGCTAACTTAGAAAGAATATTTACTTGAGTCAACAAACAAAATTTTTTCATTTCAAAATTCTTAAACGGATAACTTTAAATTATATATTGTTATTTTTAACCGGACATGAAGATCATAGTCGTTTGAAAATACCCACAAAAATAAGTGCATTTGACAGAATTGATTTTAATACGGTTTTTAGACAAAAATACTGGGTTTTCTCGTTCTTAAAGGTTATACTGATAAATATTTTCAAACCATGACAAGTCTCCATTTAAGGATCAAATATCAGTTTGAAAAGTTGTAGACTGAGAGTGTTGATCGACTAGATTAAATTTAAATATAATAGATTGCGTGCGGTACAAAATAATGCCATAATAACGATAAATGTAAGTAGATTTTACCAGGGAAATCCTGCTACAATTTACTTACATTCAACGTTATTATAGGTTAAATTCAAACTAGTTATGTTATGAAAAACTTTGAAATCACAAGCATATAAGGAATCTTGTTTAAATGGCTAGCGCAACAAACCTTTATATCTTGTAAAAATTGCTGAAAATTCACTGTTTTGCTCTCTCGTTTCTTCAGGAAAGATTTGAATTTATTTCTGGAAGATAATCGCATTAAACGTCAAACTCTCTGTGACAAGTTAGAAATCGTTCATCTCTAAACTGTATTGGTACTATTGAATGACAGATTTATTGCTTTCTACAATATCTGTTGACATCCCTCTTTTCTTGGTTAGCATTAAAAGGTGTGATAAATAGCTAGTGAAAATTATCAACAGTGACAAATCCAAATCATTGTTTGGCAGAAGAAACTAAAAAATGGCATCTTGAAAAAGCCTGCAAGGTAAACTATCACAGTGATCAGGAAAGATAGGACTTCTCTCCACTGAAAGTCACTTTGCTTTCAATTTATTCAGTTCTAGACTTAATAGCAAGATAAATTTGGTTTTAAAGCTAAAAACGAATGTAATTTCTGTGAATCAAGAAAAAAGGCCAGATTTTGAAGCCTTTTTTCTGAACTGTCCTCCGTCGAGCGAATAACTGATAAAAACCTCAGCGAAACATAATGCGACTAGCAACAACCAAAGACTGTATGCCTTTGGTTAAAGACTTGATGTCATATAAATAAAAACAAACTCACAAATACAACAATCCTTCATCTTCATTGCTCCCATCCTCACTCTCCCCATCATGGTGATGATCGTCATCCTCCTCCTCCGCACCGTGGTTCTGCGCATTAGTTTGATTCCCATGTTTGTGCTTTCTAATCAAGTCAGCCTCCTTTCGCGCCTTTTCTTCATCTTCCAAATGAGAGAACTGAAACTTGTCCAGTGTTGCCTCGCTTGGATCAATGGAGCATTCTTTTGGTTTATGATCGTGCACATGGTTGAAAGAAAACGTGATGAAAAGACTCTCCTTAGTCTTGCCAGCAAATGAGTTTATTTGATTTGCCCTTGAGAATCAAAGAGAGCCTGAATTTCAAAATGTGATTTTCCATGGCAGGTAGCTACACAACTGGAGACAATTGAACGAGAAAACAAACCTTTCACATGCCACTCTCATTCTGTCTACTTTAGATAAACTATGAGCTATAGGGGAAATGTTAAAAGGGAGCTACTTGAACTCGTTTCTAAAAGCAAATTTCTTTGAAAAATGAGTGTACCTACCATTTATAGGGAAGATACATACAGTCGCCTTCACCTAGAGTTGCAGACATCCACTCAATGTCCTCCATTTGAGGATATTTGCCAAAATCGACACTAAAATCAAGGAAATAACATAGAACGTTGTGGCTAACAATCTCACCTATGATAATGATTTTATTTTAACGTGCAGTGATAGCAATTTGTGCAGTGATAAATCGTTATTGTGCAATGATAAACTCAAATTTTGTGCAGTGATAAAACTGTAATTGAGCGATTTGGTATTAAAAAATAAAGATTGTAGCAACTACCTGTAGATAAAAAAAGCTGATGTAAGGGCATTACAATATTAAAAACGAGAAGATAACAGTACCAATGACCATACTCTATTAAACCCCTCTAAAGCTGTTCAGTACGTTGAAGTTATCTAGTTTGTTAATCTTCTCCTTTAAGATCTTTATTCCCGAAAACATGCTTAAACCTAGACCTCTTTTTCCTCATTTAGATGTCTTGTAAAAGCTTTGGTGAAAAGTGGTATAACTCGACAATTTCACATGGGAAAACGTCGTACAATTCAGTCAATTTGATGGATATCGTCATGAAAAGGCCATACCCAAATTTCTAAAAATCTTTGATTATGTGGGGTGTTTAAAGTCCTTTAAAAATCCGGTTATGATACCTCGACCTTCTATGTTTTACAAATCTTCACCATGACCTCATTGTTTCGCCTTCCTGAGAAATTTTCGTTAGCAAGGATGGGGGTGTAACAGGATCGCTGTATACTTCTGTAACCTCTTCCCCATGTAAGTATTTAATGTATGTATGCGTAGTAGCCAACTGTCACTCAACCATTGTATCTAGCATTTCCGTTTTAAAGAAGATAAATAGATTGATTTTGTAGTGAAAGGAGCTTTTTAATAATCAAGAAAATGTGAGAAACTATGAAGTCTTCTTCGTCTAAATCCTAACGCGACTCGAAGTACTGTCACAGAATTGGTGCAGGACCCGCTCGTCTTTACCATCGATCATCGATCCTCTCAATGTCATACGAAGAAGTCCTTGGACTTGTCAGTGGTCTCGCCTCCGTTGTCAAAGAACAACAGATCACCGCCAAAGATGTTTCCTCTCAAACTCAGCAACAGATTCGAGAGCTCTCTAATGCCGTCCATGAATTATCGCAATCTGTTCGCAACAAAGAAACTACAAGCTCGCCCCTTCGTCTACCACAGCTCACTCTCCCTGAGTTTACAGGCCGCGAAGACCTTGATCGTTTTGCCGAACAACTCACAAACGTGCTTTCTTCTTCTGGTGTCTCTGCCAAATTTTGGTTCACCTATTTGAAACAACAATGCCGCCGGGATACCCGAGCGTTCGACATCATCTGTGCATTCGAAGCTGCCAATGCCGCTAGAATAGACGACAAAACAAGCAATGCTGAGTTCATTCTTTTCTATGAAACTGGCCTTGCTCAACTCAAAGCCCAGAGAGGGGTTCCCAAAGAGCAACAAATCCGCCAACTACTCGCCACATATTACTCAATGTACCAACACCCTTCCGAATCCGTGGCCGACTTCGCCCATCGTTTCCTTGAAACCCAGCATTCCTTGGAAAAACTCATTCCTGGAATTCACCGTACTGACGCAGATGTAGAATTAATTCACGCATTTATGCTCAAATTACAACCTTCTCTTGCAAAAGAACTCGTGAGCCGAGATTCACCCTTCTCTTCGCTTACCGCCGTGATTGAAGCTGCCAAACGGTTTGAATCCGTCCAGCCTCCAAAGCCTGATGCCATCGAAGGTCTATGGAAGCCCCAAGCCTTGGTTTCCTCTCCGCCACCTAACATGCAGTCGAGAAACTCTCAAGACTCTCCTCGTGCGAAGCAAAATGTTCGATCACGCCAACAAGCTCAAAAAGACCCTCCAGGTACAAACTTTTGTCGTTACTTTAACAAATTTGACGTAGCACACTGCGAGATGCCAAATAATCAATGTAAAAGAGGCTATATTCATAAATGCTCAAAATGCTTTAGATTTAACTGTAAAGCGTTTACACATTCTCCCAACCCTCGTAGTGATTCTCGCAGTGCCCCTCCCGATATTCGTAGGCATGATAGAATTAAGGCAACTTATGTATCGCCTTCTGACCCTAAACACAGTAATTCTGTACTGCTTAGCTCGGTAAAAGAAATTGTCAGCGATTCTTGTTCTTCCTTAAAGAAAGACTTAGCAACAAGTATCGAGAAAGAAGTCAAACGGCAACTGCCCCAGCCTACCCAGGCTCCCGTGTCTCATGTGGCTACGACGCAAGATCCACTTTATGGTATGCCAGCTATAACGTCCCTTCCCGTTAATGCGAAATTTTCGTCTTTGGATCTTGCGGCAAAAAACATTTTGTGGACTAAGGTCACCTCTGCGGGTGTTTCCCTGCCCTTGCCCCTGGATAGCTGCTGCTCAGTTTCACTCGTCAGCCAACATCATGCGCAAACCGTAGCCAAATACGACCCTGCGTTTCAATTTACTAAATTAGAGCAGCCTATCCCTGTTTCGGTCGCTGGGCCTAATTCTTCCCTCAAGGCAGTTGGTGTCATTCAAGTGCCTATCACTTGGGAAAATGGCAAATCCGCAACTTTCACGATGCTCGTTGTTCCCAGCCTGTCTTGGCCTATTTTATTTGGTCAGAATCATTTACGACAAACCGATGCACGTATATATTCTAAGGATTTGAAGGTATATTTTGCCGATTCTGCAATGGATTTTAACATTAGCTGTTACGACTCCAATCCAATCGAATATTTTCCTGCTATGAGAGGCCAACAGCCCAGCCCCAGCTCAACGGCCAATGTTACATGTTTGCTTACCGCCATGCCCATGCAAGGCACGTCAGCAAGCCATGTTTCTTTGACCCGAGGGCTCAATTTTGTCACGGTTTGCCTCATGGTAACCGCCTCCCTTATAGGCTCTCCTCTCTTTTCGGGGCCCCTTTGGCTGGAGGGCAATACGTTTTCACCAGGGCTTCAAACCCTTAGTGGTCCAATAGACCTTGCCTCCCTGAAGAGCGTACCTTTTTCTGGTGAACAACTGCCCCAATTTTACCCTGCCAGCCACCCTGGGTTTTCAAAATGTCGACCAAGTCGGCCACTGGCCCCGACCCCACCTTCTTGTGTGGCTGTTTTGGCACCTCAAAGCAACGACGCCATATACTCTGATGATCCACCTGATATGGCCTTCGTAACCAATATCTT